CAATTCTATTAGATGTTCTCCTGATAGTTCCTGTTGTTTCTTCCATCTGACCTTCCTGTTGCCAACTTACATTTGTTTTTTCTCGCAGTCAGAGTATTCTCATGTTCTATCTCCACTAACATTCATGTCTCCTCGACTCATCTATCTGTATTCTATGCCCTATATACATCTCTCTCCCTCTCCTGGTATTTTTACGCCTATCTAGTTGCTAACGAGTGCTTTTAGGTGCAGGTCGCAGTTGAGGCCTAACTGCCCCCAGCAGTTTTGCCTCAAGATCTGTAGCACGACATGCTGCTTTCTATGTATCTCTTTTAGGCACGCATGCAGGAAGGTAAGATTGGAGCAAGTAGCAAGGTAGGGAGCGACGCACGGAGGGAGGGAGGGAGGGAGGGAGGGAGAGAAGAGAGGGAGGGAGAGAAGAGAGAGAAGAGAAAAGGAAAGAAGAAACCTAAAAAGTATGTGTGTGTTTGTGTGTGTGCGTGTATATGAGAGAGAGAGTGAGTGTTGGTATATTGGTGTGCTTGTAGCTTACATTTAACAGAATAGCCAAAGCATCTGCATGGGAAATGTGCATGGCATGTGGCATGCACTGGTAACTCATAAGAATGACTGTGACAGTTAGAAGCTCTGATGCTTTGGGCTCATGCATCTATTCAGCGGCACAGACTCCTCTGAGCTGGGTCTTTGGACAGTTGGCCCAAGTACGGATGATTAGCTCATATATCTATATCTTTTCTCTGCAGCTTTTCTGTATCCCCAGTACCTATCTTAGCGTTCGATGTGAAGTTTGCAATGATAAAATTTTGTTAAATGAATTGAAGAAATTTGTCTCCCATCTTGTCAACGAGCTTCAAATCACACATCCTAAATCTACATTCTGTCATGTGAAGCTCTCAATTCCATCATTAATTTGCACACCTCTTTTTCTTCGCATGGTTTATCGAGGATGAATAGGTGTAATAATTTTGTAAGCTGCAGTTCTGGTTAAAGCTCCACTATTAAACTGCATGAGCTTCTGAACTTGGAAAAAGCCCAGGGCCCTGTGAGTCTTGACCACAAACTTTCTCTTCCAGCCGATTGCTTATGTATTTGTCCATACCCTTTATAGTAAGTCCAGAAAAAGGTTTATTTCAGTTCATACCTGAACCTTTTGCTTCCTTTCTCTCCTTGATATATCAGCATGTGTATCTATTAATAATGCGATAAGCACTCCAAGTTCTCTGATGAGTACCTCCCAAGAGATTAGCTGCTTTCTGTTTGCAATGAGATAAAAACAACCAGCTGTATTTTCACTCAGATTGAACTCTCTAGTTGCCATCCCCACTCCGACCAAGAAATTTCCCCACAAATCATTCTGCCTCAGATTAAGCAGAATCTTAAGTGACACAAGGACCACTTTCACATTACAAAAACAATTCACTTTTTTTGTAGGCGGAAGGATTTAAATTATAAAAACACACTCTCCATAAAAATGCAGACCTCTTTTCAGTGTTCTCTATATGTCTTTATGAAATATAAAAATGAGTTATTAACAATTGAAACAATCAACTTATCTTTGTACACCTGGTGCTATAATACCTAGGAAATAATGACACCGAGACAGTTCCATGAGGACATGTTGAATTGTACCTGTGTTAACAGGTGGTACAAAATAATGTAATTATAGATGAATGTTATCTTTTGGGTCATTTTGATCTCAAAACACAATTCAGGTCATAACAATTCCATAATTTTCTTTTCTGCTTTGTGTCTATTTTCTAGCCCATGCCTATACTTGAATTTCTCAGGAACAGGAATTAATTTAGTACTGTTTTCTATTAAAAGATTCTTTTTAACTAGAATAGGTTGATTAGAAATGTCATAAGAAGCATAATATAAAGTTCTAGTGGTAAATGTGTTGGAAGCTACTCTTATACTTTTCAGAAACCATTTATGAAATAGAATTAAATTGATATCCAAATAGCTTTCCAGAGTTTATAAATTCAATGAAGATGAAAAGAAGAAAGTAAAACCATATATTCTCTAAAGAGATGTTATAGCCCTGCTGCAACCATGCCTTAATGTGTGGCTCCTGCACTGTGTGTAGCAGAGTCAAAGCAAGTCAACTTAGAAACCTAGCCATGCTTTGTTTTCATATTGAGATCACTTTTTGGAAAAAAAGAAAACTTCTATCTCTAAGAATTTAACATCTGAAAATGGATGAACTTGATTTTTACTAGAAGTTAGTGTGTATGTTTTCAAATGAAAACAACAACCACCAAAAAAAAAAAATAGAACTAGGACAATGCTCTCTTGCCACTTGGAGAAACACATAAATATTTATAATGAAACACAGAATTATGTGTAAAATGCTAAACACTTTTTTTAAATAATGAATACCTCTTTGACTATTTATTTGTCATTCTGCCATTACTATTTATTAGTCCTTTATGATTTTGAATGTATTTAAGATTATTCTATTATAAATTCAGCATATCAGTAAATTGTTAACCATCTCTCACAAAAGTAAGGTTAGAATCGTTCTTAGGATATTGAAGTTAATGATTTATCTCCTTCCTATCCACTTATTATATTTTTCTTGACTGCTTGGTTTAATCATTTGTCAGATTAACAAAGATTAAATTTGAGGGTCTGCACTGTATTACTCTAAAATATACTATTTTTATCATGAAATATGAAAAGTTTAAGAAAGTTTCTTTTATAATTGATGAATAATGGAAGGAAAGGCAGAACATTTTCCACAAGCATTTCTCACCATGGGAACATGTTTTTACAAACTGAGAATTCTGGGACAATGTTTATTTATGAAAATACTGAACTCCTACCATTTCTAAGAAACTATTCTAAAAATCATGTCTTTGATCAACTTAGCCCAAGAAATGGGAAAGGTACATATGTACTGAACTATGAATGTGTTAATAAACAATATGAGAAATGAAAATATTACACATAATTCTTTTTTAGGTGACTTTATTTTTAGGAAAGTATTCAAAATTGTGGAAATGTCACATAATTTAAGGGAAGGCAATTGAACCCCAATCAATGCTATAATCCAGATCTATACATGTTTTGATAGCTGTAATACTCCCAGCGTAATCAAAATAGATGAGTGTAATTAATTCATAAGGCCATTCCAGGCTTCTATAAAATGAAAGTAACATGACTGATTCACTCACATTTATAGAAAAAAAAACATTTTATAGCCTCATTATGTTTTGCTAGAGCAAAAGTCTCTAATTTGACAAATGCATGCTTGGTTTTACACACGGTTCCCAGCTTGACATATCATGAGGCATGTGGTTGGACAGCAGGCACCCCTAACCACTTCTATTTCTCTTCTCACTATGCATGAAGGGGTTTTATTGACAGTAGAAAAATCAGTACGTAGGAAATATTATAAAGAAATAAAAGAAAGATATTGTGTGTTATAAATGACTAATTTCTTGCACTGGCAACTTGTATGCACTATAGATAAAGAGTGTGCATACAGTCTGAAAATCATGGTACTTAACATGGGCTGGTGTAGATTTCTTTTTAAGGTCCTCCTATCACTACTTAACAAACAAGAAGAAACCCTGTCTGGTTAGGAGAGAAGAGTAAGTACAAGTTACAAAAGTAGTAATTCTTTACACTCCTTTATGCCCTGTGTCTAAATGCTGTGTTATGTTGACAGATCTGGGGAATTTTAGTGGCCGGACGAGAAGTGCAGTCTCTGTGAGGGAAGGCCAGGGGGTTGTTCTGCTGTGCTCGCCTCCGCCTCATTCACCAGGTACAGTAGGATCCATTCTCTATTGTTGCTGCTCTCCTTCACTACGTGCTCACCCTTTAGAGGGTGCATTGACTGGGGAACCTTCTAGGTGAAATGTGCATGGTTTTCTTGAAATGTTTCAGAGTTCCGGGTGTGTAATTAAAGATCATATACTCTAAACAACCCCGGACAAGAGACTGAGCTCCTATGATGACATTGTTTTATTGCCATTCTCACTTCTGACTGTTGTAGTTATCTCTCTGCCTGCCACCAGTGAGGAATATATTGCCTGGAGCACAAGGGAAGTGATAAGAAGCTGAGAGAGTAAAAAGCTTTCACAATTGTTTGGAGTGTCAGGGTCGAGTTAACTGAATACCAGTGTGCATCTTGTTTCAGAAGATAAGCTGGACACTGGGGTGTGTGGTATTTATCACACTGAAACAAAAACTGCTAGGACATATTTTTATGAGTTTCAAACAAAATTATAGTATAGTTATCATTTTTTGGCTACTGGAGCTCTTGTAAAAGTCATGAATAGGTAAGTACTTTATGGAGTTTGGAGTAACATAATAGTAAATTGTGCTCAGGTTAATTATAGTCCCTTCGGCCAACTCAAAGCTAATTATACTCATTTTGTTTGAGTCCTATAATTTAAAATGAGTACCTGTTTGTGCCTCAGTATAGTTTTCCTATAATACAATTTAACAGTGTCCAGCATCTGAGAGAGAAAGAGAGTCAATGTCTATGTCTATCTGAGAAATAATGAAGACCTTAGAGTTAACAATTGGAAACAGAATTGGGGGTACTGGCATCTCAATAATTTTTTCTTCTTTTTTTTTTTAGTATGAAAGCCACACTTGTTTTTAGGTTGTACTATTGGTCTAAAAAAAGGGGTCCAATTTTGTCCCACCATAGATAATTCTTATCATAAGCTACAATAGGACCTTGTTCAATTTTCTTAAGGGTTTCTCACCTTTACCTGATCCTCCTCCTGATGTTTTTAATGGAAAGAAAAGTACATTATATTTCAAAAGGAAAACATTTGAAATAATTTTATTTTGAAATTATTAGTAGTAATAATTTCTGAGTTGTACCTACTTAAATATTACATGTCATTTCAGTTACTCCATTCCTTCCGTGATTTTTACTGGAGACTTTTTAGTAAAAATATCTAGTCTCACCTGCATGTGATTTGAGATCTAGATTCTTTCAAGACAATGTGTTTTAACTTTTTTTTTATAGATAAGTTAAAATAATTTTAACAAGTTTAGGAAAATCCTATAGCATTAATATATGTCATGTCTAATGGGTTATTAGACAAATTTTGTTTGAAAAGCAGTGTTAGATGAATAATTATTATGGATAAAAAAGAGGAGAAACCAATTGGCCCCATAGAGGATGGAAGTACTCATTGGCAGACTTATAGGCATTAACAACATGAAGTGACTCATGTATGAAAAAGCAAGATTTTCCGAGATATAATTTATATTGCAAGGCTGCTGGAACATGTTTTAAAAAGAAGTTAAATGGCAGAGGATGGTATAAGAAATAAAACTGCATGCACACATACCGATTATCCAATTTGCAAAGAAGACTATATAGAAAAGCTTTCCAGTGGGAAAGAAATATATAATGAATTACATACATGATAAGTGTAAGATAAAAAATATGTATTAATAATTGATTAAATAAAAATGTGACCGCAGGTTGAGACTATAAGAGAAAAGCCAGATGATTGCTATTGTAGATAAGTCATAAGAAATATTAGACTGATTATATAATTTAAGATTGCAGGACAGGTTGTATTCTACTAAGTACTCATTGTTATGTCAAATTATCTACTCAAACGTCACTGTTATCACAACAAAGTTTTGGGGAGATGTGATGACCCAATATAGCTCAGCATTCAGGCCAATGTCTAACACTTAGCAGATGAGTAGTTACCCTGATCAGTCAAATCCTACACATCTTTCTTTGTTGAATATTCCTTCAGGATTCTGGCTCCAATTGAATCTTTTATATTCCCTGAAGCTATAGCTTTCCTGCAGCCTTTTAAAGTTATGGCTGTTTATTCTCCCAAATTGTATGTACATTGTGAGTTTAGAACATACATATCTCCTTTCTCCTCATTGCCCATTCTCTATTATTCCTCTTTGCAAACCCTCAGTTTTGAATTTCAAGCCATCAGACTCTACTCTTCCTTGTTGCCGTGTTCAACACACTCCCTGCTCATTCCCTTTATTCCTTGAGATTTTTCTCCACCCACTCTCTCAGCTGATAACCATTTTATTGTGAAAGGAAAGCAATTAGAAGATAATGCCCACAGCCCACAATATTCTTCACCAAATCACACAATCATTAGCTTCTGTACTGACAGGCTCTAGCTTCCCTTTTTAAATATAGAGACATTATTGTGTTTCTAAAGGTAATTACTAAACTTGTGGGCTGTAGTTCTTTCTTTTCTCCTCCTCCTGCTCCTCCTTCTCCTTCTCCTTCCTTCCTTCCTTCCTTCCTTCCCTCCTCCTCCTCCTCCTCCTCCTCCTCCTCCTCCCCTTCCTTCCTTCCTTCCTTCCTTCCTTCCTTCCTTCCTTCCTTCCTTCCTTCCTTCCTTCTTCTCCTCCTCCTCCTCCCCCTCCTCCTCCTCCTCTTTACCTAGCTAAAGAAGTCACTTCAGTAATTCTCTCTTCTGCATCTTTACCAGAGATTGTTTATTTCCTCTGGATCATTCTTAACATCATGCAACATTACTTCCCTTCCTCCACCTGAAAACAAAATAAAGCAAAGCTCTTGACTCATGTCCTCTTTCAGCTATTACCTATTTTTTTTTCCTGCTCCTCCTCATATCAAAACTTTCAAATGCTTAGCCTGTGTATATGCTATCTAGTTCCTCTCCTCTAATTCTGTCTTTCTGTCGCTTTCTGGTATCTCTCTGATTCCTGTTCCCTGTTTCTTTCTCTCTCTTTTTAACAGATTGAGGTGAAATGTGATTCACATTATCCACATGGAAAAATAAAATGTGGCATTTTATAGTTTTGCCAAAGTAACAAACTGAAACCTGGAGGATTGAATTTACTAGTTGAGACCACAATCATATTGAGACATGGTGCTTTAATTTTAATGCCTTACTTAATCAATTAAAAGGAAAAATTTAAGTGTCTTAGAGAAGTTAAGTCAAAAATTCTTGCTGAAGAGGCAGAGTAAGTGTAGAAAGAATAATCCAGGACTACTCAGTGAAAGAGAATTGGGTTTGATACCTGCTGTGGCACCTATTAGCTATGACCTCAAAATGGCCTTTGATTTGGTGAGGTGAGATTGTATTTTGTGAAATGAGCAAATAACATGTACATACTAGAAATCTAAGATCCAGATTTCTGTCTCATTTAAATAGTCATATAGCTCATTATCTTATCATCACATACATATTTAACTGGTGCATTATTTTATTTTGTTTCCCACTTTTGTTTTATTTCCTTCTTTCAAGTCATAATTAGTTTATCTTATTTTATCAGAATTTTATTATGTGAAGTAAAGTGTTGGAAATAAAAGTTTACTAATATTTTTATCTCCCCTAGTAAATTAAAAATGTATAAATTCATTATTTCAGAGAGGAAGGTAGAGGGAGTGAGAGATAAAAATATCAATGAGAAAGAATCATTGATAGGCTGCCTCCTGTATGCCCCACCCTGGGAATGGAGCCTGTAACCTGGACATGTGCCCTGACCAGGAACTGAACTGTGACCTCCTGATTCATAGGTTGACACTCAGCCACTGAGCAACACTGGCTGGGCAGATTATAAATTCTTCATGGGTACAAAACTTGCCACAACTTATTTATATCCCCAATGCTTAGCACAGTTCTTGACACTTAGTAGGTATTCACTTACTGCATGTTAAAGAACTGACTGAATGTGCTGATTCTAACAGTTAAATTTTATAGGGTTTTAGATAGTTCCTGTCAGCCTCCTGCTATCAGTTTATTGCAACCCATATTTATGACAAATATTTGGGTCACCCAATATCACATTCAAATATTACAATTTCAAAGTATAACAGCTACTATGATTCAGAGGTAACTACGTGAAATTATAAATAGTTTATACATCAGAGAATATTAAATAATATTCAGAAATCGCCCCAAAATCTATTTTCATTATCTCAAATGGATGTGTAAAGTGAATATTTTTCTGTGAATAAAAGCAAAAGCTAGAATTGCCTTATTTGCTAAGTTCTCCTGTTTACTTCCCAAGAGATCTTATTAATTCCTGTCAGTAACATCTGTGAATGAAGGCATCTTGATTATATACTGAAGCACTTATTCATCTACCAGGAAATAAACATATTTTTCTAAAGTATTAGTTACATCTGTTCAAGATTATTTTTATTGCTAAAAAACACCTCTGTCAGTTTAGTGATTTTGAAATTCAAGGTTATACTGTAAAGAATATCTGTGTGGAAATGTACAAACAATCCCCATAAAACCTATAACCATGTAAAGCATTATTTTATGGTTTAGAGGTTATCACCACAGATACTTTTAAAAAAAGAAGTTAGTAACTACATTTGACTTTAAACATGTTCTGGTCCTATTTTGTTCAGAAACATAAATCTAAGAAACACATTAAAGTGGGACTTAAAATTTTTGTACAAAGTATTATGTTCTAGTAAAAAATATATGACTATACCACTGTACAATATCATAATCACATTTTCACAATTAGTATGCTATGTAATTATTGAAAAATATATGAGAGTTAGAGATTATTGTGATGCCTGTTCTATTGATGAAGAATTTAAGCTTTAGAAAGATTAAATAAAACACTTAAGCTCTCATACTTAGCAAGTGATGGAACCAGGATTTCAATCTTTGATGTATTTTATACCATAGGATGTGCATTTTAGTTAAAGCTTTACTTAAAGTTTTATAGCATGAATACAAACAAAACTTTTTTTAACAATGGAATTATTGACTTTTCAAAAATAATGCTTATTTTATTATATCAAATGTTTTACTTATTTTTTTA